AAGGAAAGGAAAGAAAGAGAGAGAAAGAAAGGAAGGAAGGAAGGAAGGAAGGAAGGAGGGAGGGAGGGAGGGAGGGAGGCAGGGAGGGAGGGAGGCAGGGAGGGAAGGAAGGAAGGAAGAAAGAAAGAAAGAAGGAAAGAAAAAGAAAGAAGGAAAGAAAGAAAAAGAGGAAAAAAAGAGAAAAAGAAGGAAAGAAAGAAAAAAGAAGGAAAGGAGAGGAGAGAAGAGGAGAAAGGGAAAGGGAAAGGAAAAAAAGGAAAGGGAAAGGAGGGAAGGGAAGGGGAAGGGAAAGGGAAAGGGAAGAGATGGGGAAGGGAAAGGGAAGGAAAGGGAAGGGAAAGGGAAGGAAAGGGAAGGGAAAGGGAGAGGGAAAGGGAGAGGGAAAAGAGGGAAAGAAGGAAGAGGGGAAAAGGGAAAGGGAAAGGAAATGAAAGGGAAAAGGGGAGAGAGAAAGGGAAAAGGGAAAAAGGCAAGGGGGAAAGGAGAAAGGGGAAAGGAAAGGGAAAGGAAAAGGAAAGAGGAAGGAAAGAGGAAAGGAAAGAGGAAGGAAAGGAAAGGACAGGACAGGAAAGGAAAGGACAAGGAAAGGAAAGAGGAAAGGAATACAGGAAGATATGCTTGTCCCTAAAGAGAGCACATGGGTAGTCACTGTTGTAGTCTACAAGAAAATATTACCTGAGGAGTGCATCTTAAAAATAAACAACATACATTGAAATTTACATTTATTTCTTAATTCTTAACAAGTTATACTCAAGGAAAGCTAAGAAATAATAAAATTGGAATGTGGAAAACGCTTAGACATTCACTCCTTGAATAGGGCTTCAGGTTGGGAATATAGCTGGAAAAATCTCATTCACATCTTTGCCTGAACGTAAGACTAGAAAGTTTCAGTGAGTTTTCCAAAACATATAACCCCTTCAACTTTCCCAGCAACATGTAATTGGAAATATTTTTTACTTTCATTATAGATCTTATGAGGTACACTAAGATAATCATATTTCACTTACTGAATAACTGGTGGTTATTTGATACACTGGGTAAATGTACCTATTTGATGCATTAGGTTAATAACCAATCATTTCAACAACAGTTGTTGGATATCTGGTATCTTGGAATTTGTTTTTAGCTCCTGGGAGCTACAAAAACATTTATCTTTTATAATAAAGGCTTGCCAATAAACAATTGATTATGGCAGAAAATTACTATATGTTCAGAAGAATAGTTCTCTTCTAGCTCACACCAAAAAAAGTTTAAAATAAATAGAATATTTGAAATGAATTCTGATAGAAGTACTTATAAGGAAGGGCAATCTGCACAGAAATAGCTCAAACAGACATATTAGAGTGAATGATACTGTTAGGTCAAAATGATAAAAATGACAAGTAGTTGATTCAAAGAGAGATGTGTAAAACTAATTGTGCAAAACTAAGTGAAGTAATACAATAAAAAAGAGAAGATCTTAAAGTCAAATTAATAAACTTTATCATCATCTGAGTATTGGCAAAAGAAACAAAAGCAACTTCCTGATTGAGCATTGGTAGCTCTCATTAGTAATTTTAGCCACTCAGAAGGCTAACATTAGGAAAATAGCAGTTCAAAGTCAGCCATTACAGAAAAGTAAGAGATTCTATCTTTAATTAACCAACAAAAAAACAAAGTCAGTGCTGTGACTCAAGTGGTAGAGTATTAGTCCAGCAAACAAGCTGAGGCACCAAGTTCAAGCACTGCTATTAAGAATAACTAAGTAAACAATAAAAATGCAAATTCCTGAGCAACATGAGACATTTGAAAAGCTAGCACAATACCTAGTATCTCAAGTGATTATAATAAGGCAGTCCTACAACTATTATAATGAAGGTAATCCTAATTTTAGGAAATAACTACAGGAGATTTAACACTACACTACCAAGCTAAGGTGTTCAACTTTTATTCAATGAAGAATAACTAAAAAGTTTCTGAGTAGGTAAAAAACACAAGACCAATGCATTAGGAGGCAACCTGGTAAAGGTGTGATGCATAAATTAAAACAAAAAGAATTTATTACACAGACATAATGAGAAATGATTAAAAATAATGATTCCATATTTTACTCTGGTAGAGTGCTGAGACTTAAAAGTAAAGATATGGGTTTTTCAGGAAATAATAATTAAATTTTCTATTTAAAAGACAGATTAAGATATCAAGAGTAAATATGGTATAGAGAGAGAGAGGAAGAGAGTGAGAGAGATTCAGAATTGAGCAGAAGTGATGGATAATGGAATCTGTGAAAAAGAATGAGATCACCAAGATCACACTTTTTTTTAAAAAGAAAGGATGGTAAACATTTTAAATATACTTATATTTAGTAGGTGGCAAAGAAGGGAACGTGAAGTAATGAAGGAGAAAATAAAATAGTGAAAAAAAGAAAAAAGGAGCTAAAAACAAATTCCAAGAATCCAGGTGCCAATGGCTCACACCTGTAATCCTAGATACTCAAAAGGCTGAGATCTAAGGATCATAAGTAAAACAGCCCAGGCAGGTAAGTCTATGCAT